GTCGAGCTCCGTGCCGCAGTGCGAGCCCGGCCTTCGCAGCAGACAACGGGACAGTCGGCGTCTCGTGATCTTCAAAAAGCGGGTCTTGGTCTGGGAAGAGACAGAGACCAAGGCTCCTCTCTTCCGGGCGGGGCGGCTGGGTCGAGCTCAGCTCCCTCGCCATTCCGCGGTCTCTGCTGCACCTGGGCCAGGCACGAGTTTGGGGACCTCAGTGACCAGGGATGGAGAGCACAGGTGTGGCCGTGTCGCGCTCCGAGCGGAGGACTGCGTGGCGAGCGATCCCGTCAGTCAACGTGAGGCTGCGTTTGCCCCACGTGACGTCCGGGGTGTCGCGGAGCGGGTGGCACGGAGCGGGTGGCACGGCCTGGGGCACCCGCGCTGGCAGCATGTGGCCAAACTGCAGAGGTTTCAGGGCCGCGCCTGCCCGGTACCCGCGGAGGTTTCTGCGGTTGGTATTTTATTGCTGTCATGGGACTGGCTCTTTGGAAGTGCTTTGGAGATGGTTCCCGTGCGTTTCCTTCCAAAATGCCCGCGCCCTCCGCTCTGTCAGCCCCACAGCTGCGTGTCTGGCAGATTCTTTTACGATGCTTCATTCTGAACGGCTTCCAGGGGCCTTGGCCGCAGAGCGGCTCATGAAACTGATTCTCCGAGCTGACAGCGTTGGCACGAAGTCGGCGAGCAGGGCGTCTCGTTCCAGCGTCCGCCCCAGGAGCTTCGCCGTCAGCTTTATATATTTTGCTTTTCCATTTTGAAGCCATTTTTTAAAAAATAGCTCTGTGGTTGTGAAAAAACATCGACTTTGCAATCTCGACACCGGGTCGCCGGGGGGTCCCCACGTGACCGAGGCCGATCACCTGGACGCGGCCCCCGCTCCCCATCGTGGCGTTTGAGTTTCTTCCTCCGCGCGCGTGTCCCTGGGGCTCGTCCTCCTGTCTAACGAGCGAGTTCACGATCGTAGGTCATACGGGATATTCTGGGTAGGCGAAGCTTATCTATGCGACACCTAACATTGACACACCTGGCAATATCTCAAAGTCACCCGAGTTTTTATTTTATGTCACTGTGCAAACACCGCCTCACTGGAATAACATTCGTCAAGCTTTAATAAAGGCTCTGACACCTGACTCGTTCACTAAACAGTACATTTAGAGACATTTTCTCTCACAGAACAAACCCGTCTCGTAGGCTGTTCTTTTCCGTAACGCGACCGTGCAGTGCCCGCCTATGATGCCTTGTAGTTTGGAGACGAGACGTTCCACACGTGTCTGAGCAAGTGAACAGGAAAGGACTCCCCGGACGTTGGATGTGCGTCTGCGTGAGTTTGCGGGGGCCGCGGTGACAAGGAGCGACAGTCGGGGGCGTGAGCGACAGAGCGTTGCTCTCTCGAGGTCCTGGAGGCTGCGAGTCGGAGGCGGGTGCTGGCGGCCGGGCTCCCTCCCTGGCTGTCTCTCCCCCTCCCCCGTCTCTCCACCCCTGCGTCCGAACGTCCCCTTTCTCTAAGGACATCAGTTATGAGGGATTTAAGACCACGCTCTGACCTCACGTGATTGCCTCTGTGAAGACCCCACCCCCACATACAGTCACATTATGGGGTGCTGGGGCAGGACTCAACCGTACGAATTTGGGGAGACGCGTTCCAGCTGTAACGGCCTGCTGGCTGTCGATGGTGAGTTGTTCTTTCTCAAACGTAAAGCGCTCGTTGGACAATCGTTCTGAGTGGACATTTTGATTCTTCCCTAACGTCAAAACTTGTCGGCTCCACGACGTGCGTCGGCAAAGCAAGGATCGGCCGGCGCTCCCGAGCCGGAAGCCGCGGACTCTGGAGTGAGAGACTTCTGCCGGGCGGGAGATGCCGGGACCCCGGGGGACAAATGCACGGCTGCTGCTCCTGGGGGCGTAAACGAGAACGAGGTACGTGGACGTCCGTGTCCCCGACCACCTTCCAGCGGAGAGCAGTGATGTGCCGAGCCCGGCCGCGCCGTTGCTCGTCGGAGCCCGACTCCCGGAACCCCGACTCCCGGAACCCCGACTCCCGGAACCCCGACTCCCGGAACCCTCAAACGTTCACGCCAGGAGGTCGGCCGGGGTCTGGAGGCCCGACTGCCACGGGACTTGGCCG